ATATATATATACATAAACAGTTTTGTAGAATTTTTACAAGATTTTGAGTTACAGGGATTGTGATTTTGACGCATACCAGAAAACGTCCTAACTTTGTTTTCTCAAGGTGGCAGAGTTGAACTACGTCATTTTGTGACGTCACGCGCCTCGTGATCATTCACAGGATGGGTAATGGCGTCGGTAGCCTAGTGGTTGGACAACCGGACTTGTAATTGAGAGATTGCAGATTCGGGGGTTCGAGCCTCAGTCTTTTAGGATATGGACGTTAAACTCGAAGGTCCCACCTCTTAAACAACATAACAGTGTTAATAGGGGCGTTACACTTATACTATTTCACCATTTTCACAGGTAAGGTCTCGCCATGGGCGTGTTAGGTTTCGCCTCAAATGACACAACAGGAGTCTACCTGTCGAGGTCTGAAAGTAGTTTTGCCGCAAATCGTATTCGAAAACAAGTTCTGACACAGAAGATCGAAGATCGAATGCTTTGTAAACGCGCCCACCGTGTCAATGAGAACTCGGGAGGGGGGAACTGTTATAACGACTTAATTTCTCCCCTTCTCCCTTTATTGTTCTTGCTCATTACTACTCTTTCACTTGAAGAATGGCCACCCAGTTTGGACAAACATTTTAGCCAGAGTGTAGTTTGTTGTTGTGTTGAAACGACTAAAATGACGAAAGAAAAGTTAAAGTCAAAGAAGTCTAATAGCGCTAACCCCCCCCCAAAAAAAACAAACAAACAACCCCCAACAACAAAAAAACAAAAACAAAAACAAAAACAAAACAAAAACAACCGGAGCTGTGAACCAGATGAACGCCCATCAAAGGTTTTTATAAAATAAGTCGGAGACATTAAATGTTTGCCAGGAGAATACCAGGACATTCGACAGGCCATTTATAGACAACCACTGAAAGTACAAGAAACATTACCAACGACCAGACTTGAACTTGTACAAAAATTGGAGGATGGTACTTTTCAAAAACCGCATGAGATGATTACAGTCGTGCAAAATGACATCGTGCTCATTACGTTTGCCAAAAAATGTGAATATTATTGACAACAGAAACGAGTTCTTCGGCGACGGTACCTTCAGATACAGCCCTGTATTCTATTACCAAGTTTACACCATACACAGAGAGTGTCTAGGACATTACGTGCCATTGTTCAACTGCTTCCTTCCAACAAAGTGCAGAGAGGTCTACAGGCTACAAATTATCACAGGGGAAAGCAAGAAACATGATGTGGAGTTCATTCCAAGTTCGATCCACCTTGACTTTGAGGTGGCGACTCATCAAGCTTTTAGAGATATATTCACCACTATACAAGTCAAAGCATGCGTTTTCAAATGGAAGCCGAGCTGGCTAAGAAAAATAAATGAAGTCGGTCTAAAAATAATTCAAGACAAACAGTCTGAAGAAATCTGCCAGTGGCTAAGAGTCGTTTTTGGAATGTGCTTTCTTTCCCCAAAAGAGTCGGTACATTTGAAGGGGTTAGATTTAGAAAGAGGGCTAACTGTCAATGGAATGATTTCGAGAAAAATGATCCACCCCCCCCCCCCTACTGGGTTAATCTTTTTTAAAGGAGTATCATGCAGAGTTTCATGCGGTTTGGCATATTAATAAATGAGCTACTATTATGTTTTCATGCTGACAGACGAAAGTGAACAAGCTATAACTAATGTGTTTACTCAAACTACTACTTAAATATCATAGCTGCAATTTCTCTCCGTCTCACGGGGGGTTGTTCATCCAAGCACGACACATGAGTGTAGCATCCTTATTTCAAGAGTTCTACACAGTTTAACTGCATTAGTATTTCCACTATACATGTACTGTTGAATAAAGATTGTCATTGTCATTGTCTTAGATAAGAGTTCTACGAGCCTTTGACATTTTTAAATTCCGTACATGGCCAATCGCGTGTAAGACCTCCTCCTAGTCATCCTCTTCCTCCTCCTCCTCCCCTTTTTACTCCTACTCCTCCTCCTACTCCTCCTCCTCCTCCTCCTCCTCCTGCTCCTACCCCTCCTGCTGTCCGCAAAAAAACAACAACAAAAACAACAAGATTACATTTCTCAAAAACTTGCATTGGATCGAATTGAAGATAAACATACTACTATTACTACTACTACTACTACTACTACTACTACTACTACTACTACTACTACTACTACACACACATACACACACACACACGCACACACACACCACACAACACCACACCACATCACACACGGCGTGTCGACTGTCACTTCACTCCTAGGTATTTTGACCAATGGTGAGGCTCTAAACCTGCCACACCCCCAGTCTGTCGCACGCGACGAGACACTCGGTCGCGTTAAAGGAGCCGCTTTCTTTATTATCTTACTTGATTGATGTTAGAGCGACAAGAACCACGGCGTCGCTCGCGCATAGGGAGACAAGCTTCATGTTAGCGGTGTGCCAAAGCAGGATGGAAATGGTAACAGAAAACGGGGCATAAAATGTGAAATAGCTTAGTAAAAATCATACTGTTATGGAGTCATTAGTTGGTACAGTAGTGTAAAATAAATTAAGGTGAAGAAAGAAAGAAAAGAAACGAAGCAGGAGTGAAAACAACGTCCATTACTTTCAATTTGCTCTAAGTTCTCACAGTGGCGATAGGGTAACAGTATTGAAGAGTAAGCTGCATTTTATTTTCATTTTTAGAAAAATTGGTTTGAAACGGCATGCTGAATGCTTGAAGAATAAAAATGCAATTTTAGCCAAATCCAAAATTCTATTCTGGGTCCTAATCACTGTTACTTACGCAACAATCTGCGAATCAAAACTGTCCTTTGTTACTTCTCTTCCTCCTCCAACTACAATAGAAACTATGAATGGATGAATGAATGAATGAATGAACGAATGAACGGACGATAGCGAATGAATCACTCAATCAATCAACCAACCAAATAACCAACCAACCAACCAAACAACCAACCAACCAACCAATCAATCAATCAATCAATCAAATAGATCTATTAGAAACTAATCTTTCATACCATTAGAAATTGAATTAAATTAGTCAATAAATCGGTCAGTCTTTGAGGAAACCATCTTCTTTGTTTTGGTTGAGATCCATTACGCCCCCCCCCCCCCCCCCCCCACACACACACATCCAAACTTTGTGAGGCAGGGCATGTTGGTGAAATCATTAAGTTATTGTTCACTGAGTGAGTACAGCCTGAAACTCAAGTGGGTTCCAAATTCTCTTCTGTACATCTGCCCCGTCCTTTCTTTTACTCTTTCTCTCCTACTCTCTCGTCTAGCCCCCCCCCCCCCCCCCCTCTTACTTTTTATCCGCTCCATCTCTCACCTCACCCCCTCCCCATATTCTCTCTCTTACTCTTTCTCTCTCTCTCTATCTCTTTCTATACTTTTACTTTACTTTACTTTTCCGATCCAGCGGCCTTTTGGGTTCTAGCCCTTCGGTCTGTCGATATGGCAAAGAATTTACAGGTTTTAATGAGCTGTGCTTTGTCGCAGTATAGAGTATTTAGGATGTCTGGGGAGGCAGGTAGGTAGGTGCTACGCAGGTCGCAAAGTGCAGGGCAGTAAAGTTAAAGAGGTGGTGTGGTACTGTTTCATCCTGGTAGTCGCACAACGGGCAGTCGGGTGGGGTATCCTTGCGAACACAATACATCCCACTAATTTCCTCTCTCTCTCTCTCTCTCTCTCTCTCTCGCTCTTTCTTTTTTTTCTCTCTCTCTCTTTGACACACACACCCACACCCACACCCACACACTTACGCACACACACACACACACACACACACACACACACACACACACACATACACACACACACACAAACACAAACACACACACTCTCTCTCTGTCTCTCTCTCACTCTCTGTCTCTCTCTCACTCTCTGACTCTCTCTCTCTCTCTCTCTCTCTCTCTCTCTCTGTCACTCTCTCTCTCTCTCTCTCTCTCTCTTTTCTCGCAATTGGGCACCTAAAAGACAGGGTTCGTTATAGAGGGATGTCATGGTGTTCAATTTCAGCCAAACTGCTACACGATATAAATCTAGTTAGCCCACTTGAGGTGTCTTTAATTAAAGAAGTTGTGATCAGCCACGCAAAGATTTGCTACAGGTCGTTTTATGGATAGGCCTGCTATAGTACGTCACACTGCAGATATTACTAAGTATATTTTATGTGCTTAGGATCTTCGAGAAGAGAACTACAAGGGTCCAGTGATTGCCGCAAATGCGGTAGCAGACTTGTTCCCCAATGCAGCACAGAAGTCCTCGATAAACATTCTTGATGCGGCGGCTGGATCTGGCTTTGCTGCTGAAAAGGTAAGCAAAATGATGTTTCAAAGTTATCCTCTTTACCGGTGAGTCGAAGCTATTTATTTTATTTTTATTTTGCGTGAGTTTTTATATTGTATTTAGAAGGCGAAGCAGTGATTCTGGAGGAGAAAAATGACATGGAAGCAAATGAGACTTAGACAATTAATTCGGGATATTCAAGACAGAAAAGATAAGATATAGACACTGCTAATATACGGAATTTCCAACCTTTTTACACCTCCTGCAAAGTAGAATCACAACATGGTGAGGAACCTTTAGCCACTTGGAAGATTCATACATTCTTCCCCAGTGGAGACTTAAGTGTAGAAAGTGGGAAAAAAGGTAACTCCACTAGGGTGGAAGACAAACAGACTAAGGTGTACAAGACTAAGACACTTACAGGACAGATATGGCTTCATCAGAGGTCATATGTTATTTAGGATTTGTGGAACAGACTGCAGAAGATCCTGCTCAAACAACTAAAAAAAAAAAAGATTGTTACGGCCTGTCTGGAGTTAAGAAGAAACTAGTACCAGCGAAAATGATAATATATATATAAAAACCGAAAGAGACACACAGTGACGTAACAGGATGCAGAAGTATATATATATCATATCATTCCTTCAGCTCACTGCAAACGGTTTTATGCGTTGCATTGACTATTTAGTCACACAAACCGCCATCCCTGGAATACCTGGAGGTGTCATCTCAAGCCCTCATGGTCGCGAGCTGCCGTTCCACATTCTGTCAAACCAGGCCAACCCATGCATGTTTGAAAGTTGTCCGATCATGTTACCCTTTGTCTACCCCTGGTCCATGTCGTCTCGGCCTAGCAAAGATGAAAATGGTGTAATCGTAGGTAAGATCTGCTATGAGAATGCAGACTGTTGAGGCGTAGGAAAGTCCTAGCTGCAGGTCGTCTACGGACGACGTCTCATGGGACTCGACTACTGAAATCTGCACCCTGGTGATGTTTAAAGGGCAGTGTATGTTGCGTGTTCGATCTGGAGAGATCATTTTTAAAGGCAAGTATTAGTTCTGATTCGCTTTGGATCCAAACTGACAGAACTTCTCTACTCATGACACCTAAGACCTGGAGGGCACCTAAGCATTCCTTCCATGCTGTCCGCAGACCTTACGAGTGATTTTTTGGAGAGGTATTGTTCAGAGCAAAAGCCTCTCTGCTTTTTATTAAACTTAATCATAATCTCAGCGGGAAAAAACAAAATTTGATAAAAATAATATCTGCAGACTTCTGTTGAGTTGTTAGACTGCTGTAGCTTGCAATATGGCGCGATTCTTGCAACGTTTAGTCGTAAGCCTTAAATGCGAACGGGTGTGTCATGCTACGAAAATTGGGACAAGGTTTAAATGGGTTGTTTTTTAGAGGTAGCAGGATCCGAAAGAAGGCTATTTGGGACATTGTATAACTATGTTAGATTTCACATATATATGTATGTAATTTTACACCAGAAAAGAATTTTTTGGACTTGGCAAAAAAAGAGCAAATTTAGGCATTCAAAATGGCCGCCGCGAAAAAAAAAATATATAGGGTTCACTTCAAACACCCATGTTCAATAACTACTTACTGTTTTCAATGAAACTTTCAGGAAAGCTTTTCTAATACCCAATTCATGCTTTTAATTAAAGAAACTAGATATTGAGGCAAAAGCTTTCTATTTATTAGAGGTTGAAGTATGGCTATGAGACATACGAAGAACAAAGATGCCAATTAAATTTGTATGACCTTCAGAAAAAGATAAGTTAAAATGATGTATCTTTAGTTAGAGTTTATCTTCAAAATCAGTTTGTAAAATTTCAATTTCATATTTTAAGTAGTTAACTCACAATCAGGTTTGAAAAATGGCATGCAGACTGAAAATGTGGAACTGAGAAAATGGAAGAAAAAACGAAAAAGGTTAGTTTGAAATTCATGTTTGAAACAAATTACAAGTACTGCCTTCCTTCAATGGCCATCAGGATTGTATACATCTCCCTCCTTCCCCTTTGTACTGTCCTGAAAGCCTTTTCTGATGGCCCTCAAAGTCTTTTTCCTCTTTTTGGTTCTCCCTAAAGACTTGCGGTCGCGTTCATCTCACGCTGCAGATCCCCATCACGGCACATCTTTCTTGACAATGTCCCAGCTGGGACTCCCAAGTTTTTATTGTGTTTTTTAAAAAGAACTAAAACCATCATTCAAGTAGCTTAGAGGGTTCCATACAGCTTCCTCAACAGTATATCCATCCACAAAATACTCTTTACTGCATCTGCCCCATATCAATTTATTAAAATTTTCATTTACATTTTGAGTCTTTCCATGTAAGCACCTCTTCAACAACTCCACATCAGCCAAATCTTCAAACACGTTGAATGAATTCCACCATAGCATCAGGGAAACCAACTTTATACTTGTAAGAAGCCTGATCTCTTTGAAAGCCGCACCAACTTTCTAACCCTTGATATCAAACGTGTTGTTGTTCCCAAGGTAAACAAATGGTTGTCAAGGACTTTAACAATGGACCTTGATGCACAAAAACATTTGTAAAAAAAACCCAGGCCTTCTATCACCTTTACTTTGTTTCATTCTGTTAAGTAATTATTCAAGCACACTTAAAAAGCAAAAAAAAAGTAAAAATATAGCAAGATGTCGTTGTTATTTAGGATCCATTCAATGGACTTATTTAAAATGAATATCCGACAAATTCTTTTTGGCTTCCAAATATTATGTTCAAATCTGAAACGAAAAACTTCAGTATGGAGGACGATATAAAAAAAAAAAACAAGTTGAATAGTTTTTTGTTTAAATTAAATTAAATTTAATTTAATATATTATTTTATTTATTTATTTTTTATTTTTTCATTTTTTTAGGGGGGGGGGGGAGTCACCCTGTAGGTGCTGATCAGATATAACTTTATAATTCTAAAGAAGCAACATTTCAGACGATCAGGTCGTGTCGTAGAAAAGAAGCGCATTGTGGTAGGTTTTTTCTTCTTTTCTCACAAGCAATACTAACTAGACAAGCGAATTTGTGCATTAGATATTCACGTGTTTTCCGATCGATAGCAAAAGACTGCAGGCATCTTGATAATTCGAATCTACTCTTAAATTAATTTCAGCTAAAAGAGAAGGGTTTCTCTATGATGGATGCATTGGAGCCCAGCAAGGGGATGCTGACGCTTGCCAAAGAAAAAGATCTATACCAAAGGACATTCCAGGCTTTCCTCGATGGAAAGCAGTTACCAATTGAATCTGGTGAGTTTGAAATCGTTTCCAGGACCATTTTTTTCTTCTGAAAGTTATTTTGATCTGTTTGCAATTTGCAAAACAGGTAAGATTCACTCTAGTGATAACCCTAGCTCAAACACGGGAAGCAACACGGTAACGACCTGCAATGGTATGTCTATTGCCTGCATAGTAGTTATGAATATATAATGTGTGTACTGGTTTATAGCATCGATGAATGATTTATGTGTATAATATTCACGAATAGTGAGGTTAAATTTAGCCTATCGGTGCCATTGTGAACAAACTTTCCCCACGAGGATAAGCAACAACAAAAAAAGGATTATTTATGTATTCATTAAAAATTTGTTTATGTCTATCTATGTAATTATGTATCGTGTAAGGCAGCTATTTTAAAGACAATTAATAAATTACGATTGGATGTTTGCTTTTAACAAAGGACACAAGGGATGTTATAACTCGGACACTGAAAGACGTTATAAGCTTAATTCATTCACACATGGGAGTCTGGGTCTCTTTTCACAAGTATCGTAGTTACTAGCTGTTCTCAGACTTTGACTTGAAACGAAAGTTATACACATAGAAAAGCTATACAAAGTGGTTTTTAGATTAATCAAACAGCTGTAGCTTTGAAACAACTTAAGATAAGTTAAGATACGCTAAGAAAAGATAGATAAGAATGGATAAGATAACATAACATAAGACAGATAAGAAAGGATAAGATAAGATTGATTTGCACAAAGGGCAATTTGCTGCCACATGACAAATAAATACACGCACACGCACTCGTCAACACACACACACACACACACACACACACACACACACACACACACACACACA